CCCCCCCCCTTTTTTTTTGAGACAGAGAGGGTCAATTCAAGATGGCAACACATGTAATACTTCTATTTCATATTTCCCCACAGCAAGGATTGATGGACTGAAAGAGAGTGACTGGCCTAAAGTCACCTAGCTAGCTTTCTAAACTAGAACTCTCCAATGTCCTTGTTTCTAGACCAGTTCAGTGATGGGCTGATGTCGGTTCGGTCCAATTCGGGCCAACCAGTAGTTCCAACAATCAGCCTACCCACACCCGCCCTATCCTATCCTATATTTCCTTCTTTCTGGCTCAGCTGATTCACGTAGCACAGCTGATTTCTGGGCCTCCGCTGTTCTACTTAGCAGGACTGCCTTAGAAGGTAGGCAGCTGAGCTTCAAATTGCTGTAATTTAAATGCTTCATGGAAGCTCATTAGGCATGTACGCAATACATGATCATTGAACTGGTGGTTAAACTGGTTGCAGCCCACTACTGGGCCAGTACCTTACACCAAGCTGATTCTCATGGTAGCTAAACATTTGAAAATGTTCCTATTCTTTTTTATGTTATCATGAGACATAAAAATGTACAGTAGTTGTGTTTATTTTCCTCTCTCCAAGGGGAAAAGAAACGCTTCAGTCAAAATTTCCAAAACATAGGGACAGAAACATAAACACCTTATTTGATGTCATGCTGGCAATGCTCAATAGATTATTTTAGAATACACATTCATCATTTAAAGAAAACTCCAGTTTTTGAAAAATATTTTTGAGTTCTTCAAATAAGTTCTTTACACAAAGATCTTTAAAGGAGTGAGTATTCAAATCCATATTAGCAGGTGAAGTGTAACGTTTTCCCCTGGATTAATATTAATTCATTTGAGTTAAAGAGTGTGACCCCTTTGACATTGGATGAATATTAATGTTGTTTTGAAAATAAAGATAAACATATGTGGAGACTCTAGAAAGAGTGCAGAGTGCAGAGAAGAGCAACAAAGATGATTAGGGGACTGGAGACTAAAACATATAAAGAACGGTTGCAGGAACTGGGCATGTCTAGTTTAATGAAAAGAAGGACTAGGGGAGAGATTATAGCAGTGTTCCAATATCTCAGGGGTTGCCACAAAGAAGAGGGAGTCAAGCTATTCTCCAAAGCACCTGAGGCTAGAACAAGAAGCAATGTGTGGAAACTAATCAAGGAGAGAAGCAACTTAGAACTGAGGAGAATTTCCTGACAGTTAGAACAATTAATCAGTGGAACAACTTGACTCCAGAAGTTGTGAATGCTCCAACACTGGAAGTTTTTGAGAAGATATTGGATCACCATTTGTCTGAAGCCATGTAGGGTTTCCTGCCTAGGCAGG